AGGTGACATAGATACTTTATTATGGTACAGTATTTAAATGTATGCCTGAGAAAAACATWATTTTACCCCTTTAAAATGGACTAAACAGGGCTAGCGTTTATGCACCCTAAATGAGCATTTTTCAAAAAAAAATATTTTTAAAACAAGAAATGTAAAATAAATAAATTAAAACAGTCCTTTTCATATCGGCTTTTTTTTCCCTGGAATACATGCTCAACATCTGTTTTCAATCTGTATTCAAATGGCATTTGGTTCATGCCTTTGCTTACTACAGTATACAATGTATTTAGCATTCATATCTGTACAGTATTTAAGAAATTTTCTATGTGCAATGTCTAATCAAGAACAAACCCAATGCAATTACAACTTTCTTTTTTTCTGTTCTTGGTATCATACAGTGTTTCATTGTGTTTACTACACCTTGCCACTATCCCTTAACATTGGTTGTACATTATACTTGCCCTCTACTGATCTGATTTGATCTTAACATATTCCTATTGTAGAAGATGAAAATATTTAAATACATTTTCTTTTATTCTAGGCCAATTTCATAACTGCAGCATTACAATTACACTTGTTTCATTGCTGACATATAATTTACAGTGACAGATGTTAAAAACATTATGGCACGTTTTGGTCAAATTTACTGCAAAACCATTTCAACAACAAAAAAAAATACAATTTTATTGATGTTAGCGGATGTTTTTTTTCTGCACTGGTTGAAAACAATAGCAAAGAAAAGCAAAATGTGTTTAACACATGGAACAGTGTCGTATTAGCCCTCAGGTCAATAAACAGGCTCTGCAACTGGAGGTGATGGATGTGAATCTCACACTTTCTAACAGCTGGTGGATCCAGTCGAGGTGGGCAGGGGGGACTTTGTGGGTCCTCTTTTCATCACTAACTGGGTCAAGGTTGATGAGCCCTTGAGTGGGCCGCCTGGAAACTGCTCTGGTCATAAAAACAAGCTGTTTGGCGTCTGGTCTGTGTGTGTGTGCGTGTGTGTGTGTGCTCCTCTCTAATTGGTCAGAAGATAATTGATAAATGTGCTGCTAATTAACTGGCTGCTTTGTGATTATTAAAAACCAGATGTGTTGATTTTTGTCAGGAGAGATAAAGCTTTTTGAAAGAGTTATTCTAGCATCAGAGGAGGACATAAGGAACATGTAATTTATTATCAGTCTAACAAAGATACACGAGGTAATATAATCCACCTTGTTTATTCAGCACAGGATACGTCTTTGTTTAAAGCAGCAGGCAGGTTTTTACCTCTGTTATGATTAAAAGCCAAACTCGAACAGAAGCTCTGTGTCCTCGAATGTAAGTAGAATTTTATAACCGGTGGCCAGAGGGGACAGTGGAGGCTGGAAATGTCATTAAAACCAGAGATCAGTGAAGCTCAGACAGAAGGTGGAAGACTCACTGTAAAACTTTTAGTTATTGTCTYGATGGCAACAAAACTTAATGAGGCTCAGAGCGCACGAGTGTGTGAAAGAAAATCAAACAGAGAGACACAAGTGTATAGAACAAAAGCAGGTGCCTCCGAGAGCCAGAGCTCCAAAACACTCCTTTTACTCAAGTCCAGACCAACGCTTACTGTGATTGGAAAGATGGGGGAAGCAAAGAGGATGAGGAATAATAATAATAATCAGCAGAGCAGCAAATCATCCCATCCATCCATCAAGTKTGGAGCCCCTCACATGCAGGATTGAAGTTAGTTGACGTTTATGCAGCTAGTAAAAATGAAGGGTGATTTTTTTATAGCTTTCTCAGAATGATCTATTTCTTAATGAAAAGAAACCTTTTTGTTTAAAAAAACCTGAAGTAACAAAATTTTAAGATTTATATAAAATCTTTTGCCGTGGGTGTCTGTGTGGAAATGGTGTTGCGA